AAAATTTAAAATTTAGGCATGAGCCAGATTGCTGCGTTATTTCTCATGTACCTGGACGAAGAAGACACTTTTTGGTGTATACATGCTCTTATGGTCGGCAGAAAACATACCATGCATGGTGATTTCACTCATTCATTCTTTTCGTCAACGTTTCTATTTGATCGGAAAGATTTTATATTTTAAGTTTATCTTTCGTTTAGGTTTCTTTGTTCCCGGTTTTCCGAAGTTATCTCGCTTTGAAACTCATTTCAAGAAAATATTAAAGAAGTATAAACCACGGGTATATAAGCATCTAGTGAGTAATACTCGTTCTTTTCCTACTAGAATGAATTTTTATGGGACATTCTTTAGGAGAAAAACGATATTCCTTATATTTATCTAACCAAATGGTGGTTCGGTTGTTTCCTGGATCGAGTTCCATTTTCACTCGCACTAAGGTATGCTTTTTGTTTTTTATGGTTCTCCATTCGCTCACTATTAACTTGAGCAGGCCACAAATTTTCTCTTTTCCTGCTTTTTTTCAAGTTGCAAGTGGTGCATTTTTATGGCTAACAATTATTTCTCTCATCACAGTGGACATTTCCTCGGGAGGAACAAAGATGATTTGCGCTGATAGCGAAATGAAATACTCTACCCCTCTCCCCCACCTCCCCGGTTGAACTCAGTCCTTTAAACCGCCTCTGCGCTCTCTTACGGGTCCCTCTCCTCTCCAAGGCTTAGTCCTAGGGCATTCACCCGTTCTCTAATCGTCTGTGCTCTAGCCATCGCGGCAGGACCATTGAGGAAAAATCGAGTGGTCCGTAAACTTCCTTCCTCCCCGGCATGTCTCGTCTTTGCGGAGAAGTGTCATTGGCATTAGGCAGGATCAGAAATAATAAAGGGGGCCCTTGGTATCGACATTTTTATGACTGTCGACATTTGTGCTGTCGAGTGCATTTACAACGTGTTTGACGGTGGATTAGAAATTGATGTGCGGTGGTAGGCATTGGAACATCCTTCTATTTTATAAACCGCTAACTTGGTGTGTCGGTTTGTTTGTATGTATGTATGTGTCCGTCCGCAAAATGAAGTGAGTGATAAGGAAGCTAATGGATAAACAACCGCTAACAAATCGGGTAGCTCGCAGGATTTGAGATATCAATGTTTTGTAATGGATAGATTGTGATAACACTCTAGGGCTATATAAACACCTACTTAGCACACTTCCGGTCATTCCACATGGTGCTGCAGTGGCAGCTGGAGAGCAGTAGTGGGAAGTGAATGTGAGAAAGAGGAACGCCAGTTATCTGCGAAAGGGAGATTTCGGAGGTTGACGGGGTGCCAGTCTGGTCAGGAAACGAAAGATGTTAACATCAACAACCAGAGGTATAATCCGCAAATCGTGCAAAGCTCAAAACTGTGTATTTCTCATGAAGTCTTCAATGCCCATGAAACAACTGCTATTTTTGCTGCTTGCATGCAGGTGGTGTGTCCTTGTTCAACTAATCGTTCTAGTAAAATTTATTTTACGATGGATGAAAAAATTTCGAGAGGATGGAATCAACCATAAGGAACTCGCCCTAGCAGCTGAATCCCAAAATGGTGTTGTAGGCTGGAAATGAGAAAAGGGACGATCTCATGCATACGGGAGGCGTCAAACTCTCCCGAATATCCACTAGGAGACCTTGTGGAGCTCCCGCCGCCAGCATTGTTACATGTCCATTGCGTAGCAAATTTAGATTAAGGTCATTATATGGCAACAAATAATTTCGGTCGATGTGGATTTCTGGAAATATCCCCTAGTTAATTTGGTTTAAGCTTTGTCCTATATGTGCCCCCCTATTGTGCACCTTCGTCTTGAGCTGGGCTTGAGCTCTTTCCAATTTTTTCCAACCACAGGCTACACACCTTATCAATCCTTGTTTTTAGCCAAACCAACCTCACTATTGCACTTCCGCCCAATAAGCAATCCATTTTGCTGAACCGCGTATTGCGTGGAGCTTTCGTTTGAAAGCTAAAGCGTGATGCTCTAATTGCGCTTTTTAAGGACTATTTTTCTTCATTCATAGTCACTCATTCTCTTCTTCCAAACTTTTGGCGATTGAGTACCTGGGCCTTCATGAAAAGTGAAGATTCCCTCTATACCTAACTCCCTGTTGCTCAGATACTAATTCTGTTTCAGATGTTTAATCACATACTAATTTTCTAATTTTATTAGATTATGGGATGTGTACATTCTTGAAGGGGATCCAGTGCTTCTCGCGATGGCTCTGAACATCATGAAAATGCACGAAAGTGAGTTAAGAGAATTCCCTTCAGTTTAATTTGAATATGTGCTCAGATGCAAAAAAGGTCCCAAGAGGGTTTCGCTTCAAGTTCGAGTGCGTTCTTCCATTTAGAATTGCCACGACTACCAATAACAGACACACGTACAATATCAATGCGCTAAAGACATGAATTTATGTGATTAATTTGATTTGTCTCGTCAATCATTCTGGACAAGATCCAGCTTCGACATGCTAAAGCAAATCTCTTCAGGGTTTCCCGTCTTGATTACTTGTTTTTTTCACCG